CTGCACTAGGGAGGCAAAGGCAGGTGGATCTCTGACTTCAAGGCCAGCCTGGTCTGCTGAGAAACCCTTGAAAAACAAAACAAAACAAAACTTATTTAAAAAGAAAGTACTACTTGCAGCCTTGAAGCTTCTTTCCCTAGCATAAGTGTCCCAGTGTCGAGTTAAAGGCAGCTTTTGACTGGATCATCACAAGGATGACATCTACCTGAACCCACAAAAATGCCTTCCCATTGAATTTAAGAACCCAGCTCTGTATTGAATTCTTTAAGTGACAGCTTTTCCATCTGACTCTGAATCCCTTGCTTTTACCTCCTTCCCTTCTCTTGCTCTTTACTTAGTTTTAAATGTCCCGTTTTCAATATTAAGTTTATACATGAAACCTGAAAGATGGCATCGTTTCAATTATACAAATACCATTTTATAATATTATTGTAGATTTTTAATAAATGCAGATTTCCATGAGCACCTTTTTATACGTACTTCAAAATAATTTATGTAGTTTTACTTCTCTCCATAGGTAATTTTTACAGATTTTAAGGTTGTGAATGTTTTGGCAGTTTGTAACATGCCCTTTGAAATCCGTTTGCCAGAATTCACTAAGAACAATAGACCTCATGCCAGGTAGGTCTTTGAAGAATCAAGATACCATACAAACTTTGAAGCTGCCATTCGGTATAAATAACAAAACATAATTGTGTTTTTACATAGCTATGAACCTGAACTTCATCCTGCCGTGTGCTATCGGATAAAGTCTCTAAGAGCTACATTACAGATATTTTCAACAGGAAGTATCACAGTGACAGGTAATCTATGACATGGAACCACTGCTCTGGATAGAGTGATAAATGAGATACCCATTCTGTGATTCATTGTGTAGCCAGGCACTCAGGACGCAGAGGCAGGTGAATCTCTGAGTTCCAGGGCAGCCAGGGCTACACAGAGAAACCCTGTCTCGAAAAACAAAATAAGAGCAGTGTCTAATTTGTCTCCTGTAGTCACTTTACCCTTCATAGGAAGTCAGTCCTCGGACTCTAGGCACTGTAGGTTAGTTTTCCTACTGTTGTATTACTTAACATCTGATCTATACTATGCTTGTCTGGGTCTGCCTGCCTTCATTGTCATCTTAATGAGGCTCATTCTTAGCATCCATGTGGTTGTATTTACTTCACTTACTCTCATTGTTGTACCTAGTGTACAACTATACTCTTTGTAGACATTTGAATAAGAATATTCCACTATAATCTTCATAGTACATATATACACACACACATATAGTATGTTAATATATTAATGCATGTATATTGCATTTAAATTACTTAGGAAAAACCTATTTTATGAGCTCTGGAGATAAGCAAAATATTCAGATGTAATTGATCTTGTCTGTTATGTTCTCCATGTGTTTCATTGCCGCTTTTGAATCTCCTAAGTGGTTGGAAGGGGTGGTTCACTAGGCATGCATGTCCAGGGAGGCTTTAGCTTGCAGGCTGATTTTTAGGTGCACTGTGATGATAAATTATACATGGACATTGCTTAGGAGTCAGGCCCCCAAAACAAAACTGAGCTAAGATAGATTCCTTAGTCTTCTTGAATTTTGCTTCTTCGATTCTTGAGAATGAAAATTAAATCAGCTGCAGTTTAGCTCATATCATGTGTTTTCCCATCTTCCTGGGGCCTTTGAAAACCAATTGCCAGGCTCCTCCCTGAATCTTAAAAACAGGACCATGAGAAACAATTTCATTGTTGTCTAATTTCAGATGCTTCTAAACTTCTGTGCCTAGATTTCTGAGAGGTCCCAATGCATAGTTAGTTCTCTGCTAAGTATAGAGTAACAAATAGAACCCTCAAGAAAAGTGTATATTCTGGGTGTGGTAGCTCACTCCTTTAATCCCAGCACTCTGGTGGGCAGATCTTTGTGAGGCCAGCCTGGTCTACAAAGTTCCAGGCTAACCAGGACTACATTGTGAGACTGATTTAACATACCTCCTCTCCCACCCCCAGAATATATTTACTGAATTGATAAACAAGACACCACAACAAATTTAAGAAAATTAACCTAGTTAGTTACTATGCCTGTGTGTGTGGTTATTTCTTTTTAATGTCTGAATTGATAGGTGGTTGGTTAAATAGCTGACCTGGTTAATTACTACCCATTATATACATACATACATCTGGAGTGTCCTATGAGATGGATAGTTCCTGAGAGTGCTGTGATATAAACAGTGGCCAGGGAGAGCCAGACAGGAATGAATAGAACAGGCTGCTTAATCAGTACACATCTAAGTTTCCAGGACTTTTCAAGAGGTAACTATATGTTAGTGAAACAAGTTTGATTTACAAGTTTAAGAACCATTTCTCCTTTTAAGTGTTTCCTTTGATCCTTTAAATGATCCAGGGTTCTGTGGATTAATTACTAATAATTAATTACATTGCATGGCCTCATCACCCGGTGCTTCCTCCAGAACTCCGCCAAATTTCTAAGCTCTGAGGGTCAGCTGCCTACCTTGGTATTCTCATGTGAGGCTGGAGACTCTTGGACTCTGTAATGTAAGAGCCGCTGTTTAGGTAGGCGCATTGCATCACTTGGCTGGGTGCCTCATGACCTGTGACCTTCAGCTGAGTCTAATCTGCTGACGGTGACCAAAAGGATGGCGAGTATCCAATCAGTTTGTCCCTCCTCCTGTATTGATTGCAGTACCACTTGTCCGACTCTGGCAGAACAGATTTTCATGCCAGTGTCAGAAATCTAAAAGCACATAGCTTTGTGTTTTAATGGTCAAGAAAGGAAATGTGTTCTCTAAACCAGCTGTTAAGTGTGTTTAACTCTGGGAAGTCAGTTTCCTAGCATCCCTCTCTGGGCTCCTCCTAACCCTTCCTTATTTTGTTGGTTACAGGGCCCAATGTAAAGGCTGTGGCCACTGCTGTGGAACAGGTGTACCCATTTGTGTTTGAAAGCAGGAAGGAAATTTTATAACTCACTTGGTTGGTTATCTCTAACTGAGCACCTTGAAACCTGCTGCACATTGGACTCAAAACACAAGGAAAACTGGACCAACAGTGACTGAGGAATAGACTCCTGCTCACCGCTACAGTGTGAGCTCCAGTCCCTTTGGGTTTCACTTCAAACTTTGCTGTAATATAAAAAGGAAGTTTACAAGACATGACATTGCTGCTTTTAAAAAAGGACATTCTATTTATTTTCGCAGTAATTCTCATGTCCCCACAGGCAGAGCTGTCACAGTGTGCACTACCTTAAAAAATTGTTTTATTGTTGTCATTATTTTTCCAGTTTGAGCTAATGTGTTTTATTTGTGAATAGTCTTTTACATTTTTGTATGCTGAATATGGGCACCAAAGAACCTGTAAAAGTTATCTTTTTAAATTGAATGTGCACAAATAAAGGTTTGGAAAAGATCTCTCTTCATATCCATTCTGTAACTTTTATTCACCATTTTCTCTTTTAAACAAACTGTATTCATAATTTTTTAAAATCTATGCAGGCTTAAACTTTGGCTAAAATATGTGGGCTTCTTTTTGAAGTGTGTTTGTGTACATATATATGTATATATGTGTGTGTGTATGCTACATGTATATAGTATCTTTTCATGCTCTGTTACCAAATATCAATTAGAATTTTTTCTTGCAGATTGGAAATCAGAGAACATGTATATAAGCTCTAGGTAACTAGGGTAAAACTCCACAGATAAACAATGTTTTGTTACTAATTTAATATGGTAGAAAATGTTAAATGACTTTTAAAAGCAAAGGAATTGTCATTTCAAAGAGGCCTTTTCCTCTCTAGATGGGTATGAGAAGGAAGTTGTGCTCGGTTGTACCTCCTATTACCTGTGTTACTCTGCAAAGACTTGCTATAGACGTAGGAAGAGTTGAGGTTCTTATTACTCGTAGGTTGGCGCTCAAGGCTATAGTACATGTCTCGTCAGAAGTCAATAGCATTGTGTTTTTACAAGAAGTGCCCACAAGCTGTGTGTGCCACGGTGTAGTTAGAGCTCTACTTGAACCAGAAAGCCTTTGGCAAGCTAGTCTCTGTCCTTGCTTTGTCTTACTAAGTGGAGGTAAAAGGAGACAAGTATGTGAGAGCGCTGTCTTAAAGTTACAATATTTGTATGAAATAGGGCCCTCGCCCATGTGTGGACTCTGGAGGGAAATGCCAAACCAGATTGGTGTTAGTGAGCAGCGGTGGGTTTTACCCACAAACAAGCTGGGCGGAGTCAAAAATTAGATTCTCCGCATAAACTATTGCCCATGAAACTGAATTATTAATATAGTTTGAAATGTTTGCAAAAGCTTGCACCATCTGAACCTCCATGTTTAGTACGTTTTCTACATATAACCTCTTAAGGCTAACTTAAGCACTGTACTGAGCAGTACATGGGATTCTATTATGTTCAATTTTGTTTTCTTCTAAAAGCCATCTCATACCCTGCCTTTTACTCCTACAAAAAGTAAAAAGTAGGGACAAAGGCTAACTTTTATACTTGCTTTTCCCATAATTAATTGTGATTTTTCTTAAGTCTTCAGTTTTTTAAAAATTGTTTTTACATTTGTTTTTCTTTGCTTTAAGATCATTAGCCAAAATCCTAAGTACCAGGAAAACAGTAAAGTGCAGTTAGAGGTAGACAAGTTCTGAGGTCTTCCTACTTGTTTGATTAGCAGTGACCTCCTGTTCTGCAGTGTTGACAAGCGCACAAATGTGTGTGTGAGGCAGAGACTTGTGTGGGGAAGTGCAGAGCCAAATGACCTAACATGTTCAGTGTCCAGTGGCTTGGAAGCTAGGCAGATCTGAAGCTCTTGGCAATTACCGAGGAGTGAAGAAGGCGTGGTCAAGTCTGGAGGCTCCTACTGTGTGGGCACTACGTGGCAGCTTCCTGGGCAGTCCACTAAACAAAGCTGGGAAGGAGTGAGAGAGTCGTGTCACCTGAATTTCTACAAGTACTGTACATTTTTTATATAAATAAAAACTGTGAATATATACATACAAATTTTAAGTATCCCCCCTTTTATTTTTTAAAAATCAAAGGCTTCATGTGTCGGGGGTGAGGTCGGGCTAATACTGGGTTAAAAAAATTATTTTGAAAACAAAGTGTTGAGTTCCATACTTGGGGTAATAACATTAGAACGTTTAGGATACTTACATTGAAGTCATTCGTAATAAGCTGCTTGTTTCTTGCCCATTCACAAGGTATACGAGATAGTCAAATGTGTGTCCATATATGTTTAAGATCGAATCATTTAACAATTTTTTAAATATCTTAATCTAATACTTGGGGGGCGAAAGAGAAAAGAAAAAGCTCAGGTTGATAACTTGCCTTGAGTTTTGTTTTGTTTCTTTTTTTTAAACTTGGTGTGATCCCAGAGACACATGATAAACAGCACTGCTGTGCAGTACACACCTCGCCCTCCCCACAACAAACAGAAAACAGCACACATCCTTACTTGATGGTGCGATACATCACGACAGAATCAAGACATATACCAACCTCCCTCACAGCCTCCCCTGCCACCTTTAATTTATATGATCCACTTGAGAACGAGGCTCCGCCATGCTCCTGAGGCTGAGGGCTGCTCTCTCTGCTGCTGTGTAGGCTCACTGTCTTTCCGCTTTGCTAGAAGGCAGTGTGATGGGCCATGTACCCCTCTCAGACTGGGACCATTTGGTAGTGAAAAGGAGAAGATCCCAAATTAAGGGATTTGAGCTCTTTTTTGGGGGGGGTAATATTTCTTTGAATTATTTTTCAAGTTAAGCTGTTTGTACCTGAAGGGTAATTTTTTTATGTACCTTCCATAGTTTATTAAGTGATTCAAGATTCTTTATCACAGATTTTCCTACCATATATGAAAATTCTGCTGGTGAAATGTTTTGTCGAATCTTAAAATTCAGCTGGAAAAATGGGCCAGAGAAATGCATCCTGTGGGTAAAACCCACCCTACTGGTATGACTCCTCACTGTCCATCACAGGAGAGACAGACCTGTCCTGATGTCTGTGTCATTTATTCTGTCTGCATTCATCAGAAAGTGAGTAATGAGAGGCAGTCTGCTGGAGCCCAAGGGGAGTGATTCCTGAGAGATGGGAGGAATGGCAGGAGGTTGTGGATTGCTACCGGTTACCACAAAGGCCTTCCCAGGCCATACTTTGTATAGATTTGACCTTATCACTTAAACCTAACCGCTTGGAGATCTGGATGAGTGATAACCTTATGACGGGCTCCTTTCCTAATATTCACTAAGCTATTTCTAAGTAAATATGGCCCCAGGATTTTTAAATCGACTTTTCTCATCATATTTTTATAATGGAAAAAAAAGGTTTTTAAATTTGACATAAAATTTATAAAATAATATTTTGATTAACTAGTATTTCATTATGGGTGATGTGCTATCTGTGTACTCTTGGTACTGGTTAAAAATTTGTCATAAAATTGATAAAAGAATATTTTGATTAACTAGTATTTCATTATGGGTGATGTGCTAACTGCGTAATCTTGGTACTGGAGTACTTGGTACTTGGTGGACTTGAGTTGTCTCTAAAGTCTTACGCAGGACACCATAGTCCTAATCTACAACATAGGTGCACTTGAATCATCCACAGTGTTTTGACAGAGGCAAAGATGGTAAGTCCCTGCCCAGAACACCTCTGTGTCTAAGTATTGAGCTGTGACTGGCATCTTACACAGCTTAAGGTAGAGGCTGGCCTTGTTACCGTAACCCAGTCTTTCAAAGGCTGCACCGAAGAGAAGGTAGAAGATTTAAATCTGCCAGGATTCTGTTTTACCTGACACATTAGGGCATTGGTGGTGCCTCGTCTGCCTTCTGGCAAAGGTCCCATTTTGGGAAAAGAAGTAAAGGCTGTCTTTCTAGTTTCAGGGTGTCCATGTAAGTTGTCCAGAAACCCCATGTAAGTCCTGCCATCGCACCATATGTAGAGATTTGAGCCCCTTAGGTCGCTGGAGAAGGCTGCTGTAGCTGCCCCCTTCCACACAGCTTTTTACACTCTGGGAGCTGCTCTTGGGGCTTTCTTTTTTGAAGCGGGGTTGGCACTAATTCTTCTTGGTGATGACTCATAAAACAAATGTTGTTTTTCACATAGTTCCTGAAAAAGAGAGAGAGGCGCTAATGAAAATGTCATTCCTCATTAATATAGTACATGAAAGAAATCTGCAGTGTTATTATTTTAAAAATCACCCTGAGGTTGTCATGGTTTAGTTCATGGGAAAACATTTTTTCATTGTGAAGCCTTAATGTTTTGAGAATTCTGATATGCACCTACAGCCTTTGGTCAATCTCATGCAGAGGGTAAAAGTTAAGCGGTTTTCCTCTCAGAACATGGCCACAGCATCCCTCTTAACAGACCAGGACCCCGGGAGTACGTTAATGTTAACCAGTAAGAAAGTAGTGGTGATCCCAAGTCCTGATTCATTTTCTTGCCTTTTTCTACCTTCCCATTGTGCCTATGTTTTGCTCTCTACTCCCCTTTTCTACAACACAATACAGTCTGCTGTATCCTTTCATTTAACAGAAAGGGGAGGGCCTTTGAACCTTCCTCTCTCCCACAGGGAATGGAATGGGTCTCGGTGGGCAGTGTGGGTGGAGTGGAATATTACTCTGGCTTCCAAGGGGCTTGTGCTTTCATGGGCCACATTCAGAGCACATAATTAGCGTGTGTAAAAGTTCTGATGAGAAAACAAAAGGGAGACAGAATGATAGGTGACGCAGGGATGGCTGATCAGATGTTCAGCAACTGGAGTTCAAGTTGGGAGTCCTTGCCAACATTCCCAGAATACACTGGGACAGTACTTAGAGGGGCTGTGGTCTCTAGCCAAGGTACTCGGGAGACTGGAAGCTTGATCTACACAGATGGTATCAACCAAGAATCACATCAGAAAGTGAGAGGTGGTGTTGAAGTGTCATCTCAAAAAGTTGGAAAGTCAACCCCCTGAGGGAACTGTGGCAGATGGCAGGGCATCGTCCTAAACCCTGCCTCAGGGTTACATCCCTAACCTTAAAGGAACTGGTCACATTCCATTTGTTCCTCACATTTAGGGCAGAAATAAACTGAGAAGTCTTAATCAAAGGTTTTCCTGAATGACAGGCGATGCTGCAACGATAAATGGCACACTTACTGAAAGTAAAAGTATTTATTGTAGCAATTACAAGAGACAAACAAGTAACCCAGATGAGTCGAGTAGTTTTCCACCGCCGAACTGGAAGCCGGAAAGCCGGAAAAAAGAGCGAGACTTGCGCTGTTCAGTCTTTTATACCTTCCTCCATAACACCCCTAGCCATGCCCAAAAGTGGGCCTTGCTAGTGACTTAGTTCACCACCAACGTCCGTATATGTCTTTAGTCATGCCTAAAGTGGGTGTGGTTAGCGGTGTGGTAAACCGCCCTTTTATTACCTCATCTGTATGCGCCCCTAGTAAGTCACATGGCTAATGGCGGAGCACTGTTTCCTCTTACAGACGGTGTGGGATGGATGTGTTGAAGAGTGACACATCTAAGCCATATAAGAGAGAGAAATAAAGCTGGGTGCAAGCACCCTGGAGCTTCACAGTCCTAGGGAAGGACTGACGATCTGTTGAGCACAGTACTTGGGAGGTACTTGGGAAAATGAGCTAGAGAAGAGTCAACAGGGTGATGTCTAGTGATGATGAGCAGAAGGTCAGCCAGTGCATTATTCTCCATGATCACACTATAGGATGTCTTCACTTGGGTTCTCTTTCCTGGCCATTCAGTCAGCCTCAGCCCCTACCTTCACTGAGACTTGTGGAGTCTTACGCCTGTCTTTTCCAACCCATACCATACTATCCTGGAATACTTTGCTTCAGTGATACTTTGTTCCTCTGTCTTTCCTCCATCCTCACCATTGGCTGCTCCTTGGTCCTTGGTGATCTCAGAAGTCCTGGCTGTCCTGGAACTCACTCTGTACACCAAACTGGCCTCAAACTCACAGAGATAGGCCTGCCTCTGCCTCCCAAGTGCTGGGACTAAAGGTGTACACTGCTGCCATCACTACCAATCCCCCACCATTCTCCTCTGCTTCTGATGAATGATCTCACCTGGTGTCATGAGGCCAATGACCTCCCACATTATAAAGACTTAGAGATGTACATTCATATTCAGCTGCCTTCTACTTACAATGTGTCTATTTAGTGTCTTAATGGACACCTTCAAATTAATATATCTAAAGTGATAGTAGTTACTCCTGCACCCCGGAACCCAGGCCCCTCCAGGTGGCTGCACTTCACCATTCATTCACTTTCTCAGACTCCAAGCTTAGCTGGTGTCCTGGCCAAGCCTCACTCCTATATCCAGTTTCTTTGTTCATTTATTCATGCATTCAACAATGCATTCCCATTACAAACCAGGAGATAGATTGTTCTAGGTGATGAGTAATAAGAACTAACTGAAAAAACCCTGCCTCTTGGGGTTGACTTGTTCAGATCACTTGCTTCTCTTGCAGAGAACCTGGGCATGCTTCCCAGTATGTAAGGGCAGTTCACAGCTGTCCAGAACTCCAGTTCCAGGGGGATCTGATGCCCTCTTTAGCCTCTGCAGGCAGTAGGAATATATGTGGTATATATACACCCATGCAGGTAAACTTTTTTTTTTTCAAGTTCCTGTTCTCTGGGAACTAAAATGTAATGAGACATAGCTAATAGGCCAAGTGAATGTTTCAGCTTTTGTTAAGAACTGAACTAAGTAGACAGAGAATCTGAATTAAAGTAGTTGGCAAGAAAAGAGGGTGGTGACACTATGAGGCAGACACCTACCTAGGGGAAGGACATGAAAAAGTTGCTGCCTTGAGAATGCTGAGTAAAAGGTAGTAGAAAATATAAACTATATGGCTTTTCCTCTACATGACAAACCCCTAGAGGACTGCAACAAAGGAATGGCTTGGTCACCTTTTAAAAGGAACAGAATGGAGGGGACAAGTTAGGAAATAGGGACCAGGTAGGTAACCACTATAGTAATGAAGAAAGGAGTTCATGGTGACACACAATAGCATAGAAGGAACGGATACCTGTGGAAGTGGGAGTCAGCCCAGCCCAATAGACAGAAGGTGGAGTATGAGACGAGAGATTGGAGAAGACTGCTGCTTGTGGCTACAGCAAAGAAAATTAAGACGTTGGGAGGAAACAAGGTCTGGAACCAGTGTGTAGCTGGACTTTTCTTGGGGCCACCAAGGGTTGAATTAGCCTCTTTAGCTTATCTCTTAGCATGAAAAGAAATATAAGCAAGACATCAGTAGGCACACTCAAGTTTAGGAAGGAGATCAAAGCAGATGAATTCCAACTCCTGGTATACATGGTTCAGAGGGCATGACATTGACCCCAATGAAGCAATGAGTGTGATGAAGGTTTAAGAGGAAGCCCAAGATCACCAACTTGGAGCCAGGAGTGGACAGGTGTCTGGTGAAGTCCCCATGGGTGGCAAAGCTATCACTTCAGGAAGGATTGCATACTCCACTAAAACAAGCCCTGAAAATTGACCCCTGCATTAGCCCTATTTCAGGGAAGTGGATGCCGTAGAACACTCACTGAGAAGGGGAAGTAAGCAGGATTAATAAAGGACTTTGTTATAAATAAAGAAATGGCAAATTTGGAAGAGAAATGGCAGCAACATACTCTTCTTAGAAGGTGAGAGAAATAGTACAGTATTTGTCTAGAATCCTGAATTCAACCCCAGCACTGCATAAACTGGATGTCGTATACATGGGGACACATACAATCCCCTGCACTTGGGAGGTAGAGGTAAGAGGATCTGGTGTTCAAGGTTATTCTCAACTGCATAATGAGTTCAAGACCAGTCAGGGGTAATGGGGGAGATCCCAGCAAGTTCCTATTTATGCCAATAAAAAGTACAACAATAAAAATAAGGAGAGTGAAGGAGTAAACAGGAAGCCTTTGAAAAGGGAGAAGAGATGGGAGTATGATGGGGCTGAACATTGGCATAAAATGAGGAAAACCAGTCTGGAGTCAGTGTGTAGATGGACACTTAACCTGAAGGGATGGTGGTGTTGAGTACAAACCCTAACAACAGCAAGGACAAAGACTTCAATGGACTAGGGACATCTGCCACTGCCATGCATCATGAAGGGCCATCTGAGGCCAGCACTGTGCTTAGGAGCCTTCCCGGCTTCAGGCTGCTAGGTGGGTTATACATGCTCAGGACACACCTGGCTTGAAATGACAGTCATGTCATGTTACTACTGTCCAGGCTAAAACTTTTGGTCCTTTCCTACCCAGTTAGAACCAACCAACTCCTTGCTCAACCTGCTTTATCAATCCCAGTGGCTCTGACCCTTCTAGAGCTCTTGTCCTTCCAGAAACAGGCCAATCCTGTTTCTGAGTTAGCCTCTGGACCAACAGTCCTCTACCTGCATTGTCCCTACCCCTCCCTTCCTGGGTTGGTGGCTTATTGCCCAGATTGTGTCCTAAGGGTTATCTCAGCACAGCCTTCTGAAGTCTGCCCCACCCCAACCACTTAGGAGCCAATCAGCACATTTTCATTGTCCTGGGAGTGGTTTTGTTTTGTTTCTTTTTTCTCATTGCTAGTTTGGTTGCAGCACCTACACCAGTGGCTGGTGTATAATAGATGCTCACTAAGCTTTTTTTTTTTTTTTTTGTATGCTCCTGTGGAGGCAGAGGTCAACACTGACTGCCATCCCTCCCCCACTCCCTCCACAGGGCCTCTCACTGAACCTGGAGTTCACAGACCTGGCCAGCAAGCTTCAGGGATCCTACCCTCCTTCCTGTCTTGGCTTCCCCAAAGCCGGGATTACAGGCATTTGCTGCGCCAGCCCACTTTTACACTTTGTATGCTGGGGCTCAAACAGGTCCTTTTGTTTGTGGAGCAAGCACTTGACTGACGGAAGCCTCAGGAGTTAGAAGCAGCTCGTTTGCACACAGGAATGGACACATCCCATTAACTGCTAACAATAAAAAGGCATCGGAGCTAAGCTATTTATAAAACACTAACTGGTCTGTTTTCACCGAAGTTGGGAGGAAGAGTAAGGAAAATCACACTTGAAAGAAGTGAATGTAGCAACAAACCCTATACCAACTTTAAATTTGATACTACACGTTGGGACAGTAGATGACAGGGCAGATATTCAAAACAAAACCCTTTCAAGTTACAGGATGGTAGCAATGTCTCCTGACTCTTGGCTGAGTCACTATTTACTTTATAAGGAACTTAGCATCCTTGGGAGAACATTTGTTTTCTCAGCTTTGTAAAAACTGGGGCTGGGTTGGGGACCAACTCCAAATAGGAGAGAGGAAAATATTAGGCAACGTGTAGCATCGAATTTAAAATTAATTTGATATTATAAATAGTTTCCTTTCTTAGTCCTTAGGAAAACTTTATTGGGATTTACACATGGGAACTGGTTTCCCTGGTGACAAAAGTTGATTCATTTGTTTTATTAACTTCTAAATTCCTAAAGACTCCCCGAGCTCAGCAGTAGACGTCCTAGATCAAGTTTACTTCAGTTTCTATGTACTAGCAAGTTCCATGGGTTTTCTATTGCCCTACATTTCCTTAGTTAATTTGATACTGTACTCATATCGCAAATTTTTGTCTCTGGCATTTCTCTCCGGGGAACTTTGCTTAACAATATGTTTCAAACACTTCTTGTCAGTTTACCTAAGTCAGGCTGCTTACACATTTTCATTTTAAAAGCGTTTCACAACCTACTGTATCAAGCAGAGAAAAGCTTTGAGCGCTAAAGAATTGTGTAATCGGGAGTTAAAAAGCAGAATTCTTTTTCCTTTCAGATCTCAGTGCAGGGCATCCCCCAGCAGTAGGCAGCTGATAAGTACCACTGAGACTATAACCGAGTTAAAAGCACAGGCTGTCTCGCCATCATCTCCGTAGTTCTGTCCCAACGTCCTTATCTGTTTTCTCTCACAGTACTGTTGAGGGGTCACAGTAACTTCGACTTTGACCCCCTCCTAATTGTCAATGCATGACTGTCTCAAACAGTGCCTAGATTAAGGTTTTGAGTAACTCATGACTCAAAAATACCAAATGTGGTTTCACAGACAGTTCACAAGCCAGAAGTGTATTACTTTATATCCTCCCCTACGCAGAATGCTGAATAAGTTTTGCCAAGTTTTAAATACCCAAGTCCTACTCTCTTAAGGAACATTCTAGAAGCCCATTCTAGAAGATAGAAAGAGTCTGTCTTCAAGTTGTCATGATTTGCAGTTTGCTTTGACAACTCTACTTGAAAGCTGCCAATGAGATAAGTTTTCAAAGTTAGACCTTCCGAGGGAAGAACGGTATGGTCATAAGCCCTTAGTTTTGTCCAGGTTGTTAAATGAAAGGAACTTAGCAGTTCGATCCTATGCTCCCTCCAAGAGTCTTTCACCGTTGCTCACAAGAAGTCTTAACAAGCCTTTGCAAAAACACATCTTTGTGCCTTGAGTTGGGGGTTGGTTTTTTCAAAGTGCATACACACAAACTGAAGTTACCAGGAAAGCAATGAGATGCAAGCCTGCTCAAGCCATGGAGTCATACCTCCTACTGCACTGATGATTTTTACTATTTTTCTGAAGCAGCTGCCAAACTTTTTGCTTGGGCTCTCCAAAATGTTTCTCACCCGGCCACTGCCCACGTGCCAAGTACCTATGCTGACTACCAGACCTGTATCTCTAGGGGCGTTTCTCCTCACTCCCGATTTCTGTGCTGCTGACCTTCCTTTCCTGTCCCTTGTAAGTCTCGTAAATCTCTCAGGGATCTGTGCAATTGGAACTCAGGGGCCAACCCCAAGCCCCACCACCCACCAGTCCCTCTCCCAAACCTGCCCCTCATCCCTGACACCTTGCTGCCCTGAATGGCACTATTGCATACATAGTGGGTCGATTCTGGAAGCCTGAGAGCAAGTCCCATTTCCTCCGTTTTCTTGTTGTCCCTTCCTGTCCAGGTCCCAGTTTCATAGGCTCTGTTGCTACACCATGTCCAGTTCCATACCTTCCCAGGGCCACCTCCAATCGCTTCATTCAATGACTCCTCTTTTTGTTCTTCCTATTTTGCCAGAACATTCCTCCTAAACTCTGGTCACTTTGTCTCATTTTATTTTAAGCACTCAGTGGGCAAGACCATTTTCTATACAAGCATGAGGCCTTGAGTTCACACCCTCAGTACTTACGTAGAAGTTGGGCATGGCTAGGCATGCTTGCAGCCCTAGACTTGATAGCCAGCTTGTGATTTGAATTGGGACAAGTTTTTTTGCTTAGCAAGGTAAACTGTTTTAAAGCTTTCAATCAAGTTTCATATACAAAGTAAATGTTTTCCACGCATCTACTCAATACAGCCCCTGCTAACACGGGATGAAATGGCTGGCCTTTATGAACATCTGCATGCACAGTCCTACAGCCCCTGCTAGCACGGGATGAAATGGCCGGCCTTTATGAACATCTGCACTCACGGTCCCACCATCGGCTCATCTATCAGCCTGGAGCTTCCCTCAGATGCAAGATACGGTGTCAACTGTCACAATTTCTGTTATCATACCTGTTTTGCCAATGTTTTAGCATTATTTTTTAGAAGAAAAATCACAACCCATTAAAAAATATAGCATGGTTTTCTCCTTTGTAGTAAAGCCCAGGACTAAGCATGGCCCCATTTCCAATGTAATTTAATCCGAAGAAGAACATGTTTCTCTTCATTCCTAGACTGTGGCCGCCACTTCCCTCAGGCTGTTTGATCAGTCAGAACTCAGTGCTCTGCCTCTGAACACTTGTTCATGGCCCACTTGGCAGTTACATTATTTATCTCATCTCTCTATGTGAAACTCACTTATATACCTAGAATTCAATTCTAAATGTCTGATCATGTAAGACACTCCTTACCTTCACTAAAATTGACTTGAATATGCTACATTAATAAGGAATTATAGACATTTACAACCAGGAGTTTTTCTGCTAATTGTAGCCTAAAGTGTTTGGGCTCAAACGATGCCTGAGCCTGTTTTAGACGAAGGGCTGAAGCCGTCTATAGTCCTAGCACAGGATGGGCATCATCTACCAGTACCTGCTTAGTACCCCAAACAAAGGTAGCCTCCCACATGAGGAGCTAGAATGAAGTGCTTTCTTGGGGGAGAGAAGTAGTTTGAGATGAGGTCTCATAAAGGTGATCTAAAAATTACTATGTAACTAAGGGTCTTCTTGAACTCAGTTGTCCTGCCTCCACCTCGTATGTGCTGGGATCACGGGCATATAGCATGCCCTGCTTGGAATTCTTGTTCATCACTCAGTAAAGTTTTAAAAGCCTTGCATATTGATAAGCAACGGTTCTCACACATTTGGGACAAAGCTGAGGGACTGGAATTATGCAAAATAACTTCAGATGTTATTTAATTATATATAAAAATGCATTTTGACCAACAACCAATGATATACTTACGCTTTTGCTAGCTCCATTGATATTTGTTCCAAAGAGCATCCCTTAGTCTCAGGTATAAACAAAACAACAAAAACCAGGGACGCAAGACTCATGATTGTATATATGAAGCATACCCACGACAAGCCAATAAGATCTATAAGGAAGAAAAGAAAATGATTAGAAATGTATTCTGTGCTGCATTGATGCCGTCTCTTCTAAGATCCTGTAGAAAGCTGTGTGTACATGCTAGTAGTCTCCATGGAAATTAAGAGTCACAAATTCAAAATATGGCCAGGTTCTTTTTGTTTTGTTTTACAACATTACCCCAGCTTTCTTAGGTAAAATGCAAAGCTGTCTTTTAACCACCACAAACTAAACTCAAAACCATTTTCCGGGTGCACATATTTTTCTTTTTCAACATGGTAATGTATCTTTATTAATGCAAAGAGCACATGTTCATTTATGTTCTAGTTCATTTCTGTTGCCAGGATAAAATACCCTGACTAAAAGCATCTCAAGGAAGAAAGGATTTATTTGACTTACAATTCAAATCAATCTTCCACAGACATGCCTACAAACCAACCCAAAGTAGACAATCCCACACTGAGACTCTTCCAAGGTGTTTCTAGGTTGTGAAAGTTGACAATTAAAGCTAAACATCACCATTGCAAAAATAAAACTTCAATGCAGAAGTCTGTAAAGACCCAAGGCCAATTTTCTCTTACCTTTCCCCCCTCCTGGCTTCCTTAGGGATCACTGCTGTTGTAGTTTGGCATTTTTTTTTTTTTTTGGTTTTTACGAGGCAGAGTTTCTCTGTATTGTTTTGGAGGTTGTCGGTCTAGCCTGGCCTCGAACTCACAGAGATCCACCTGCCTCTGCCTCCCGAGTGCTGGGATTAAAGGCGTGCGCCACCACCACCCGGCTCATTTTAAATGACACATTTGTGCAAGTGGACTTTTCTGGAAATGAGTTCAACTTTTTTACTCTGATTTCAATAAATTATTTTATGTTGGCAGTATTTCACAATTTTTAGTAGCCTGCAACATAACTGTAAAGCTTCCTTTTAGGTCCAGGAGAAAATATGATAATGGAGCAGTGAAAGAGATCCGATGACTAAGCTATTATCAGCAAGAAGCACGATCCTTAACATCTTGATGGACTTCACTTGTGAGCTCTCTTGGCCACTTCTAAACAAAGACTAAACTCCCTTTCTAATCACTGGCCAAGTACAAGGTACATTCCACTAGAAAGGACTCCATTCAGGTGCATATAAGTGTGTCCATTTACATTGTGCTGGCCCCTGGGCCAGCAGCAAAGGTTCAGGATGACAGGGAACTGTGCAGAATTACCTAGCTCTTTTTACACACATGCCCAGACCAATTGCATGCAGGATTTGCAAATAGCCCTTGACAGCCACAGCCACAAATCACAGCTGGTCAGGGGAAAAACTGACTTGAGTGGTTAGATACTGAAGCCATTTTTATAACTGCAGTGTGGAAGGGCCTACGCATAGTAAGCACTTGTGGGTGAGCTGTGCTGAGTGGGGAGGAACAGGAAGAAGAAGACAAAGGCATTTCATTTTTAACAGGTGTGTGTGCATGGGCATGCTTGTGTGTGAACATGGAGGTCTGAAAGCGTCAGGTCTCATCCTATCCTGCTCTCTTCATATTCCTTTGAGGCAGGGTCTCACCCAGAGCCTGAGGTTCATGTTTTGTCAGCTAGGATGGAAGCCAGCGAGCTGGTGTTCCTTCTGCTTCTGTCCCAGCTCAAGAGTTAGGATTACAGGTGTGTGCCAGATGCTCGTTAGGTGGGTGCTGGGGTGAAACCCTTGATCATCAGAATTGTACAGCAAGCGCTCCTAACTGTTGAACCATCTCTTGGGCTCCAAGGCAGTTAGTTCTTTCTGGCAAGTTTTAATCAGTCCTGTCTCTGTGCTTTTCCTGCTGCTAGTGCAGGGTTTTGCCAGGTAGATTGCTTGATCTAATACTTGTAGACTTAGTCAGACCCAAAAGGTTATCTCATTAAACATGTCCCTTATTCTGTTTGAACACTTGCAGTAACAAAGAGAACATGACTTCGAAAAGTGCCTTACCGCTACAACCATCTACCTTACTTAGACCCCTGGCAGAGCACACTTTGTCTTGTGGATAGCACACAGTGAGTCAGATCCTCCGACCTTGTTCTTTGTGATATACAATGCAAACATTTGTTTGCACTTGCCCTTTCTTTGAGAGTCCATGGACCCAGATCAAATACCCAGAACTCCCCCAGCCATGCTTCACAGAGCATAGGTGCCAGGCTCTTACTGTCCGGGCCATCCTCTCGTGGAGGATGCCCTGTCTTTTTGCGTGTCTCTTGAAATAGGGTCTTTCTATGTTTTCAGGATAGTCTTGTATTCATCCTTCATTGTCCTACCTCAGCACTCCAGGGTCGGGTTTATAGGTATGCATTACCACAGCCTACTATGCACTGCAGCTTTCAACCAGTTTTTCAAAATAGTGTACTCAGAACTAAATACATTGTCCACTGTTTACCAGGAGCAGTATGTTTATATCGATACAGATGACATTTCCCTAAAATGTTGGAATCCAAAGGCTTGTTGCCATTTAAAAAAAAGCCTCATATATTTTAGGTCATTCTATTCCATGCTTAAGAGTTTGATCTCTGGAAATACTTCAAGATCTTTAGACAACCCAAATAGAGGTCAACTAAAGATTTTAGGTCATTCCAGGCTTCAAAAACCAATTGAGTCTGGTTGTGCATAGCTCGTGCCTATAATCCTAGCTGAGGGATGAGATTGATGTAAGAGGATTGTGAAGTGTTCAAGGCCGGGCCACACTACATAGTCACAGTCAGTTCTCGAAAAGACAACCGACACTGAAAAGAAAGAGAATCTGTTTTCCCAAGATGCGTGCTAAAAGCCCATTCAAGGGTCTACTTTTTCCTTAGCTCATCCAGTATTTCAGGCAGCCTTCCTGCAAAGATTCAGGTCATTTGTCACCGTGTGTGTGTGTGTGTGTGTGTGTGTGTGTGTGTGTGTGTGTGTGTGTGTGGTGAAGGGAACATGTTTCTGTGTACAATCGGAGTAGAAGATGTAGGATTATTGCTAGTAACTAGTTTTTTTTCTTCTTCAAGCTTGGGCTATGTCTTAAACTCTAGGATGCAAGCATTTGAAAATTTTATATATAACCCAAACTGCATTTAATTAGCAGCTTCCAAAGTAATTTAAAGCATAATGTACTAGTATATACATGTATTTATATGTGTATAGCTTATTGTTGAGTAAGAATCCATTTCTTATGGTTTTGCTTGTGAGCCTGGCCTTTAACAGCTGAGCCATCTCTCCAGCCCATAAGCATCCCTTTCTAAAGGTTAAGTATACATACATGAAATGAATGATAAAATGAGGATGTGTTTCTTTTGTGAAATTTTATAGTTTGGATTTTTTTTAGTTGTCAAGTGGTGTGTGTGTGTGTGTGTGTGTTTAAAAAAACTCAATGGTCATTTCTGGAGGGTGCTTGAACCATCTCAGTATTTTGGGAACTAAAAATAAAAGTTTCAAGCACTCATCTTGCCTTATATAAAATCCACATTCAGAGTAGCTAAGTGGCAGTGAAAAGAAAATTCTCTTTAGAGAAGCATTCCAGGTTTAAAAGAAAATAAGCAGAGCAAAAGAATGAAAACCTTGGGTCTGGGTGACAAGCATCAATGGAATTCAACATGGCCTGAGATGGGGGTGGGGCAGTCAGATGGGGAGGATGACAGGACATCCTATGGTCACTAGCTGAGGAGTGTGCTAATAGGCTACAGAGTTACCCCCTTCAAGCTTCCATGTAGATCTACATAGGAACTTACAAGAAACACAAAGGACAAGAGGACATGTGACCTGAAAACTATCAAGATCTATAGCCTGCAAAAATCTTTTAACAAGCTAGTCAGTCTTTTCCGTAAGGCTCTAGGGGGTAAAAGTCTAGTAGAAAGAACGGAGATGCAGCCAAATGATGAGAAATATCATTCAGTTGTAAATTACATATTTGGAGATAACTCAAAGAATAAAAAAAATTACAAGGTAATTGGTAGAAAGTAATATTAGGGGAGATTATTAATATTTAAGGATGCTAATTATATTGTGGTCTTAACTTTCAGAAATCCATGCTGAAATTCAATGAACAAAGTGATTATACCTGACATGATTCAAAATAACTTGATGAGGGGAACATGTAGGGTTATAAAGGGATGGAGATTGAAAACTGCTTAACTTGGATGATGGACACAGCTGGTTCAGGACCAGCCTCTCTCTACTTTTGGGTATATTTTTAAATTTCCACAATGAACACTTTTATGAAGAGTATGAAGACACGAATGGACAAGACTTCTTACCAGTCACCGTCAGAAATGTCAAAGAGATGAGAAGATTGATGCCCCAGTTCATGCTAGAGGTCAGGGCCATGGCCCGGCCTCTGATTCCACCAGGAAAGATCTCACTGAGCAACAGCCAGGGCACTAGAAGAAAGGGAAGAATGACCAGACAAAAATTAACAAAGACCCTTCGACACCCCTTCGACACCCCTTCACTGGTCTCTCTGCAAGCTGTGCCTGGATTTGTGGCTGGAGGTCAAGGCTATCACTAACTTCAGCAGGACAGTCCTGACAATGACAAACCCCCTCCTGACTGAGGAAGAAACTTCAGGATAAGCACTGGATGAGCTTGACAATGGCTATCGTAAATAGGAGGCGGCGGCACAACATAGCCCTGAAAAATGTCTGTGGCAACCGCGAGCAAGCTTTGACTATCTGTCTGGCACAGGAGCCTCAGGTCCAAATTGCCAACTTCAGTGGATCCAGAAGGGTGAACTTTTCTACACTGTCCTCTCTGTCACCCTGCAGAATTCTGAAGTCATAGCCAATGAATGAGAAGGAAATAGAGCTAGAAGGGTGAAAGGTCACATATCTCTCCCTTTTCTGATTGGGCGCCATGGCCTGGGGGAAGCTGGGCGGAGAGAAGTCCTAAATTAAATATTGTAATACCAGACTAGACATCTAAATTTTTGGAAGGACACTCGTCCTGCTACCAAAATTGATCAGAGGACTTTTTATTATCTGAGTGACGGGGAGCATTATGGACACTGCTTGATTAGATTAGGAAGGGCAGAAGATCGCAAATTAACTTGTCTTCGCCACAGATTTGGTGTGCTCAAACAGGGATGGGTTCTTGCCGTGGGCTGACTTGACGGACACCTCTACGTTTTCTCATCTGACCATTGCCCCCATTCATCTATCGCTGTCCTTCATTCATAGAGGAAGAGGTCATGACTTGGCAAGGTCACAAAGCTCCTAAGTGACAGAGGTGACACTGAACCCTGACCTCTTTAAATCAATATGGTTTCTGGGTAATGGGTTGATAAATGAGGAAATGTGAAGGTAAGAGGATCTGATTGGACGGAAAGAAGAGTTTAGACGTGCCAAGTCGTGGCTCTCTGCGGGCTAGTAAACCCATTGGAAAGATGCTGTTCGTGTAGCCGCCAACCATGTAATCCTCGCCTGGAAGAAGCTAGGTGAGGCTAGTGGCTCAGGACTGAGCAGTCAGCAGTTTCCAAGTGAGCAATTTGCCTCTCTTGTCACAATCGTGCTCTATGGAGAAAACATCTGCTTGTTGCAAACACATTAAGGTTGTTGTTTTTTGTTTTGTTTTTTAAAGAATTGTAAGAAGACCTGTAGGTCTGTAAGTGAATCTATACCAGGTTACCCAGAAGACTGGGGGATAACGATAACTAAAACAACAGATTGTTACTGTTCTAATTAAGGGAGAATATACGAGAACGATGGCATGCATCCCATCCGCTCATCTTCACCTCTCCTTCCCCACCCCTCCCTGCACTCAGAGAGGCAGGTTATTGAAAATTATATTCCCGAATAATAACCTTTTCTCTCTCCCTCACTCCTCTCTTATTTCGAAACAGGATCTCATATAGCCCCAGCTAAGCTAGAAACTGCCACAAAGCCAAGGCTGGCCTTGAGATCCTGATTCTCCTGCACCCACTCCCAAGTACTGGGATTACAGGCATGCGCCAGCCAATCATGTTCCTCTTAGTGAACCCATCTCAGCATCCAGATGAACTTGTCCTGGGCTTTTTAAAAAGGAAGATCCAGCTCTGGTTAGATGGTAGCTGTAAAGAGGAAGGCTTTGTCAGAAAGACTAGTCCCTGGGCAAATATAGCATAAAAGTATGTAAAACCATTTTGTTTGTTCTTTGAAAAGCCATCCTGAGTGCCTGGGTTATAGCTATGTGTCACCATGCTAGGCTTAACTCCGGTTCTTAAAGCTAAGCAATCTCCCTTCCGTACTACTGCTTACCATGGGTATTGAGCACAGTTAGCAGTGGAGCAGAGGGGCCTCTGAGGCCTTGGGCTGTAGCAGGAGAAGGAGAAGATGGTGGAAGGTACAATCTTTTGTTTTGTTTTAGAGGCATTGGCTCAGATCTTCATGATTCAACTTCCCACTCTTTCTCAATACCTGTCCAAGTCACTTCCAACTCTATTTCCCATCATGATGGCCTGATGGAACTATTCAGTGGCTGGGGGTTGCCGAGTTCCTCAGAACCACAGTGGTCTCAGATGGAAATAAACCAACTTGGCTGTTAAAGCCACCGAGACAGGATGGGGACAGGACATTGCGCAGCTGGTGGAATGCTTGCCTAGAATTCATGAAGCCCTGTGTTTGACCCATACCACCACATAAATCAAGCATGGTGGCATGTGTCTGTAATTGGAGGCAGGTGAGTCAGAAGTTCAAGGTGATCCTTCGCTACAAATGAGTTCAAGGCCATCCTAGAATACATGAGCCTCTGTCTCAGAAAAACAGGGGGTGGAGATGGTTGTACAAAGTACTGGTTATAGGTTATAGCATGTGCTGTGTCGGAAATGCCAGGGTCTTGTCTCAAAAAAAAATAAAGAGCACTCAAAAAGCATCCCTAGGCAAACAGTAAAGCAGCTGAACTGAGTCCTGGGGCAATTTAACTAGCACGAGTAATGAACTAAAGACTGAAAAATAGACTTGCCTCAATTTATGCTCTGGTGGGAACTTGCAGTCAAACCCCACACCTGACATTTCCAAAAATTAAATTCATCATTGCTGGATGAATCACTTCACTTTGTATCTAACGAGAAGAACTAAAAAACTGATGTCTTGGCTGATATGATATTGACAAAACTGGACCTGGACATCATAGCAATTGTCAACTGAATGCTTAACCATCCTGATATACATCATATCAAATTAAAGTAAGGAAGATATTATTTTAATAGTGACGATGGGACTGTAAAGTCGCAAACTCTCAGATCCCAAGAGAGAAAAATAAAACTCAGAATGTGTGGCAAGAATGGCTTCCGGTGCCACACTGAGGAGCAAGATAGGACAAGAATCTCGTGTGCCTTGGTGTTAGAAAGATGCTGAGTGCCCAGAGCAGAAAAAAGTGGAAGAGCTCACCCTTACTATATAAGGGAAAGAGCACAAGCACGAACCACCACTTGGGGATTCAATATGGTGAATCTTGTAATAACAACGGTGATTTTTTTTCTTTTTAGCCTCAACAAGATGGCCCATTTTCTCTCCAAGGAAAATCAATCTACTGCTACGTGGGACAGTTCTCTTTCGCTGCCACAATGAAGAAATGGGGGCTATTTTTGAGGCTCCTCCTTCTCCCCCACCCCAAAGATGAGCCAGCAGAGGATCCACTGTCCTAATTATTCCACAGAGTACTCACAACACATACAGTATAACAGGACTGTGTGCATTGCCGCCACCATAAAACATAAAACATGCCACCTAGACTCTATTATTTTACCTCTGTCTGACAGCACCACTGCAGCAATTTGTGCCCCTATAAGTGCCGCAGTCTGCAGTGCCCCAAGTGTCAGTTCTAAGCTGTAATGATTGTGGAAATCTGAGCTTGTGGGGGACTGGAGTCAGTAACTATTCACAGCTATGGAACTCCTGTATCACGTGTTATTAGATCACCAGGGCCCCACAAGAACTTGCGAGTTCCAGTTGGAGTCCACTGTTTATGACTACACAGAGTGTCACAAGAAGACCAGGAAGGACAAATATGTTGATGTCACTCTGTAAGGACACAGCCTTGGATTAAGAGGGATAATGAAATAACAGTTCTGTCCCATGTAAGTCACTCTGAGTATTTCCTGCCTCTTACTTATTCTGGCCACTGCCCCAGTTTTTCCGACAGAACCTGTCATTTAACTCCCTACGCTTTCAGATTTAAATCCTGCAGCTCTCTGGGCACACTTTCCACTTGGCATGAGTTTCTCCTGAACCACCTGGCGTGTGAACCCAGAGTCTAAAACTCACTAAGGTCTCGAAACTCCTTGCCAGAGAACTTCTAACAACTTGAGAAGGAGTTCCACACTTGAGCTGCAGAGAGCTCAACAGTTGGATTTGCCAAGGGAGGCAGGCCCTGCAGAAGTAAATCCAAATCCTGTGGTTTTATTGCCTGTGTAAGCAGTACATGCCACACCTAGTTCTTCTGCAAAGAGGTACTTAAAATGTGACTAGGAGAGATGGTTCGGTGGTTAAGAACACTGACTACCCTTCCAGAGGACCTGGGTTCAATTCCTAGCACCTACATGGCCCCTTACGACTGTCTGTAACTCCAGTTCCAGGGGACCCAACACCCATGACAAAACACCACTACACGTAAAATAAAAAAAGTAAGTTAAACAATGTAAATGAACTGAGCTATTCCTTCCCACCAGATGCTCAAATCCTAAGACTTAGCATCTTTTAACAACAGACCTACGTAGGCCGCCAGGGACGGGTAGCTTTCATTTCTTTGTTGGTTTTGTAGTCCCACCTCCCTCAGTCTCCCTAGTTGTGCCACTCATGGCCTTTTGTAAAATAAATCCTTTTTTTCATGAACACTATCTTGAACTGCTTAGATTACAACCAAGGTAGGCAATGAAATAGAGAGTCAGTGTTTCCCCGTTAAGGATTCCTAGTCAAAATCAACCAGAATGACTTTTCAGGAAAGTATGCTAGGGAAAACTTAACTACACTGAGTGACTCTTAATTTAAAACAAAATTAAAAATTGACCCTCCTCCCCCCTTTTTTTAGACAGGTCCTCACCATGTGACTCCTTACTATATAGACCATGCTGGTCTCGAACTGACAGAGAGTCACCTACCTCTGCCTCCCAAGTGCTGAAATTAAAGGTGTGCTCGACCATGGCCAGCTGAAAAATGAGCCCCTTTTTACCAGGTACCAAAGAAGAATAGGAAGAACCTGTGCCACTGGGACTTCAACCTTTCTCACTTGCGAGGCCTAAAAAGTAATTTGAAGTTTGAAGAACTAAGTTTTGGTTACTCATAATTCATATTAATGTTTTAATCATAAATTTTCATACTAACAGAGGATGCAATGCCTATCATGTTCAGCAATCACTCACCCTGATGCTGCCAGTAGAACCCAATGCCATCCCTGCTTGATGTCCTCT